CGTTCTCCTGCACTAGTTTGGCAATCTGAGCGTCGAAGCCTTGGGCCCTCTCAGCGAATTCCAGGCCTTGTTTGATTTCAGTTTGGCTCTCGGTGTCTGAGATGGTCGAAAGAAGTTCCTCCTTGCGTATAGTGTTGGCATTTATCTTCGCTTCTATCTCTGCGATTTGTGCCCGGAAGGAAGCATTCTCTCGATCAATGGCATCGACTTCTTCCTGCGTAGATGCTTTTTGTTTCGACAACTCCGCAATTCGAGAAGTCGTATCCGAGACAGCAGTCCACGCAGAGGAGCTTTTTCCATACAACACCTCAAGCTGACTGTTAAACCCCCTTTGGCGCCTGTAATCTGCTGAGACTTGATCAATCATAGAGTGTAACTCCATGATCAAGCCTGAGACTTCTGGGGCTACAGCTAACAAGTCGACAGCATTCAAGACATCCTTCAAATATGATGGAGCAGTGGGGTCCCCCTCTAAAGTCTTCATCAAGTCCCTCTTGAAGACCTGAAGGCCCTAACACCTCTGTTGAAGAAGCGGAGGTCGATTTTTTCATGTGCAGGGTCTTCGTTGTCTTCTGCGTCTTTCTTGGCGCATGCAACCGGTTTGAGTTTCTCAACTACCGGGAAATAGCTCTTGATCTTCATAGCCTCAGAGATACTTGGATACATGGGGCCAGACATTGCAAAGATCTGGTTGGAGTATCCAACCGGGATCATAAGATGGCGTGAGTAGGCATCGCGAACGGCGATGTCCAAGGGTTCAGGAACCCTTCGTTTTCCTGAAGAAGTTACTACTGGAGCAGTGACGAAAACCTTGGGTTTAGCATTTTCAGATGGTACAGTAGCGCCAGGAGCATTGGAAGCAGATGCCATTGTTAGAGTTGAGGTTGAAGACGAAGTGAATGAGGAAATGTTTTTGCAAAGATAACAAGTTATATGAAAACAGAGAAGTTTGAGAGCTAGATGGCGTAAAAAGTCCCACAATGGGGTACTTACTGCTATTTATAGTAGTGGGGGGAAAATCCCCAAAACCGAGGACATTAAATGCCATTTAATTATTGCAGGAGTTAGTGGGACGCGTGGCAGCCCCCTGTTGTTTTAGCCGTTCTGCAGAAATAGAGGGACGCAGCGTGCGTCCTCGTTTTTGGGAATTGTCATAATGACAAATTCTGAAATGACGTTTGGTACTGCACGCCGTACTGAAAGTGACGTCCTAGGTACAGATAAATGATGGTTTTCTTGGGATTGCCAATAGTTGGTAGAAAACAACAAAAAGTGCACAAGTTAATTTGTGACTAAGCGTGAAAAGACAGGTGTCGAATGGCGTTTCAAAGAATGCCTTTTTCTTTCAGAGTCGAAATAAGGCATTCTTGGGGGGCAATTTGTTGGCTCCCAAATTCGACACCTTTGTTTTGTTGATGTCAGCCATTAAAGCTGAAGGATGTTTTCGACTGGCTAAGTCTGTCGAAATGCCCGTCGAAAGATGGCAAAGTACTTAGAAGATTTCTTCCAAGGGAGAGGTTGGTTGCCTTCGACGTCGAAGGAGTTTCTCGTCGAAGATGTCTCTCGACGAAAGTGTTCGATGGTTCAGAATGGAGCAGTTTGAAATTCAAGCGTTTGGAAGGAAAACGGTTTCCAGCAGTTACCACGTGCAAACGTGCAAGGATCTGGAGCGTCGAACGTGGAGAACGTGCCAAGTGGATTGATCTCGAAGCAGTGTAACTGCCCGACGGTTACTTGGGATGTTTTAGTATAAATAATAGTAGTCATGTAGTTTCTCGTGTGTGTTCACAATTCTATACAAAGTCACTCATATAGATTCGAGTACCCAGCGTGTGAGAAAGAATTGTTGAGAAATGTATGTGTGAAACACCAATTTTATTAATCAAAGTCATTTACTTTTCCAGAAATTTACTTGCTTTCCTCTTTACATTCCTGTCGAAGCCTTTTACTTTAAGCCTTGTTTATTTTACCAAGTCCTTTCTTCATGCAATTTACTTGAAACCTCTTTATTTCATTTAAAGCCTCTTTATTTAAAGCCTTATCCAATTTAATCAAAACTTCAAAATCAACCTATGTCCTAGGATCAATCTGATCGATCCTGCGAGTAACCAAATAAGTAACCATTTGGAGGATCAACGGTTGTTTACCAAACACCAAGGTAAACACCTGGTCCTGTAACTTCCAAGACAAAAATTATTGCTCATCTAAAGTAGACTTTCAGGAAGCTAGATGAAACCATCGGTACTAGAACTACTAGGAAAGTTAAGCTTGAACAGGTGATAAATGCTTTGATGGAGGAAGAAGAAAATCAGGTTGAATCTGCTGCTGCTACTACTGCTGACAATAATACATTAGATGGTGAGGAAACTTAAAATGAAAATGCTACTGAGAAGACTGTATTTGATGGTGATAATGATGATGGTGAACAAAGTGCATCTGAGAGTAATGAAATTGATGATGAGATTAGTGCATCTGGTGGTGATGATGTTGATGGAGATGGAGAGGCTTATGAGACTGTTGATGATGGTGATGTTACTGCATATGCTTGATTATGCCTTTTTTTTGTCTCTTTTCTTTGTTTTGGCTATTTGGTTTTGTAAGGTTTAAATGCCCAAACATATTTTAGCACTTTATATGCACAGTGTGCTACTCTTGTTTATATGTTATTGTGGTTCTTTTGGGTGATATATTTATCTTTGTCATATTCTGGATAAAAAGAGGAGTAGTATAACACTAACCACTAATTGTACTTGTGCCATTGAGGGGGAAAATTTTAATTCTCTACTTGTTGTAATTAAGGGGGGAGAATCTTCTGATTCTCAAATGTGTGACTTGGCAGCTTTGTGGAGGAGAATTTGTTCTGCTTTGGACTGGCATGAAGAGATGTCAGAATGTTGTTGTGCTTGCAGATTCCACTGACTAACAATCTAATATGATTATTCTGCTGCTAATACCTATGATATTTCGGATGTTAATTGATTTCTACCATTGTGCCTTTTTTGTGTATGTTTGATTTATTTTCAAACCTATGTTCTTGTTGGAATATGAATTTTGGATTGTAAATTTATTTTAGCCAAAATTTGTCAAAGAGAGAGATTGTTAATTATCTATTCTTATGATTGACATTAATTTTGGTAAAAATAATTTGGTAGCAACATGTTAAATATGATGTTTTAATCTTGCTGAGTGAACATGTTGGACACGATGTCCTATCCAGTTTATCCGGCATCTTGTATGTTACAGCTGCACACTTGAATTTATTATGTTTTAACAGATCCTGAATATTTTAGGAATATTAGGATATTTTATATATCGTCCAAGACTGTGGAATCATAGATTCCATCTGAATTTAGAAGATTGATTTATTTCATTAAATGTTGAGACATTTTAGGAAACATTTGATTAAAATCATATTTTTATGCAGAAGTTTCTACAGATTTTTAGCAGCTGACTTGTTGCGTTTTTTAAGCCCAAATCCAGTTCATTCAAGGTTATAAAAAGAAGGCTACAACCCTAATACAAATGTGGAATCGTAGTATATTTTATAGTGTTGTAGAACATAATTTTAGATGGTCTTGTGTGTTGATTGAACACTGAGTCTTAGTAAATGTATTAAGATTATTTTGTTAATTTTGAGCATCTCTAATATCACTTTGATAGAAGAGTAGGACTGTCTCTTATTGAGTTGTAAGTATTGTAAATCATTTTTAAGCTTTTAAGCATAGAATGATTATGTGTCTTTGAAGTGTGACTTCTGTTATTTTCTAAGTGTTTAGAGTTGTTCTTGTCACTGTTTGTGACTGAAAGGGAAGTGAGAGGGGTCTCACACCTAGGTGAGTTTGAGGTAGAAGTATAACACGGATAGAGATTAAGTGAGAAGTTGTAGATATGCGAGTTTAGCTTCGAATTGATACTGTTTAGTGGATTTTCTTCCGGACTTGGTAGCCCCCAGATGTAGGTGTTGTTGTACACCAAACCGAGTTAACAATTTTGTGTGTTCCTTTATTTTTCTACACTATTTAAGTGATATACCTTGTCATTGTGTTTTTGTTCAGAGATCAGTGTCTCGACATCTCTTAGGACATCTGAGACCTGAATACCAGAATTTCAACTATCTTATATTGTGTGGTGATAACGGAAAAACAAATATACTTACTTTGTTGACCACTGATAATCCATACCGCACTAAATTAACATATGAATGAAGCGATTTTTGTGATTCCAATATATTCAAATCTAGTGATAAAATTCGATTTAAATTTGATCTAACTTCTCCAAATAACAAATGTCATGTATATAAAGTTAATTATTTCAAATTTGTTGATGTATTGTTTTTAACAATAATGATATTTAATCGATCTTCGTTATCATTACCATTTTTTCCCGTCTATTCACTACAATGTCGCAAATAATTGTTCACAAATTCAATTTGTCTTCTTAATCATTAGCATTTTTCTTTACATTTGTCTTCCTTCCATATACTTTTAATTTAATTATACATTTTTTTTACTAATTTATAAATAACTAATTACAACTCTACATATCACAGCAGTACCCGTAAGAACACACGAATATCCTACTAGTTATATATAAAGAATGATATCATACTGTCGTATTTTTGTATAACTATAATTATATTAAATTATTCAAATATTTTTATCTTTATTTTTAATATAAATTCAATTTATGTAATATCAATAATTTAACGTATAACAACAAAATATTTATGAATTTGATAAAATACACAAATATGAGGAAATTGAAATTTAGAAAATAAAAATAATAAAATAATTTTTATTAATTTTATATTATTCTGAAAATATTCGTACGCTACCCCGAGATAAGGAATAAAAAATTTACATTGAAACCGTAAAGGAAAAAGAAGCATGATTGCAGCATCATACAGCACGAACACCACTCTCAGTCGAGACATCGACATCCAATTGCCGAAACGAGAGTTTTGAACCAAACCCTAAAAACAATACTCAATTTCTCTATCAATGGCATCTGATTCCAACGCCACCAACACGCTCCTAGCCATTTGCTACAACCGCGGTTCTCTTCAGCTTCTCGATCAGGTTTTTCATTTTTCCATTCGCTTTGAATTCTCGCATTCAATTTTGTTCAGTTTTTTTTCTTCTTCAGTTTTTGCTTATGGTACTTGTTGTTCTGCAGAGGAAGCTACCTTTAGAAAGCGTTTACTTGGAAATTCGGGATTCAAATGATGGCTGGTAAGACATTTCAGTTGAAATACTGCACCGACATTGCCACATCAACACCAGTAATAATTTAAACAGACACATTTTTTTAGAGGTGTCATGATATAGAGCATCTGATTATGCTTTGTGTAAACTCTTTAACTCGGATATTGAGAATATGTAAAGTTATAACAAGGAGTCATAATTTGACTGTTGCATTTTATGTATACTAGTTTTGAATGTGATATGACCGAAAAAGGTTTTAAATAAGTGTTGCATTAATGGTTGCTTTGTGATTATTGATATTGTTGAGAATCACGGTTAAATGAGGTGGATGTGGCCCTGGCTGTGTTTGCGTTGTGGTTTTGAAACATAAAAAACTGTTGTGTTGGGGCTTGGACTTACGACTTTCGCAGGAATGCTATACGAGATATGGTGGTCCGAGGAGCACCTGCTATTGCGATTGCAGCAGCACTCTCTCTGGCTGTGGAGGTATCCAATTTAGATGATTTCAATGGAACTACTGATGACGCTGTATACTTCCTGCAGAAGAAGTTGGACTATCTTGTCTCAAGGTATTTTTTCGCTTAACCGTGTTACCAAGACAACAATCTACTTATTGTGGATGATCTAAGTCATGCCGTTCTTGATAAATAAATAAATACTTCCTCCGTCTCATAATAAGTGTCTCATTTGCACTTTTTCTACGTCTCAAAATAAATGTCTCTTTAGAATATCAATACAATATTTATTATTTTTTCCACTATTATATCCCTATTTATTAACTTTCACGCCTTTCAACTACTCTACTAACTATAATAAATAAGAGTGTTTTAGTAATTGATATTAATTTTATCATTAAAATCAACACATCTAATCATTTTCTTAAGAACTGCGCAAAGTTCAAATGAGACACTTATTATGAGAAGGAGGGAGTAGCATTTAGCATGTTGTAGTGTCTCCTTAAGGAGTTGAGATTGTTGTCAAGAAGTTCCTTTGAAGCATGAGTTTTTGTTTCATTTCCTTCCTTCTTGCTTCAGTCGGCCCACTGCAGTGAACTTGTCAGATGCTGCGACAAAGCTCAAAGAAATCATATTGAAATCTGCTGCTACAACTTCAGAGGCTAGGGGTGTTTTTCAGGTACTTATAAGATTTTATAATGATGAATTCTTGCATAAAAAAAGGAAGTTATCGTTTGTACCTTTTTACTCTTACTTTGGATTTGGCCATTTGAAACTTAATCTATTGAATTATTTTTCAGGCTTATGTAGAAGCTTCCGAAATAATGCTTGAAGACGATGTCGCATCGAACAAAGCAATTGGGACTTATGGAGCTAAGTTTATTAAAAACCATACAGGGAAACAAAAGCTTTCTGTTTTGACCCATTGCAACACTGGAAGGTACCTGCTACAGTTCAATCACCTATAATAATAATAATATAAAGTTTAAACTTAAATATCTTTTGATTATGTCATTTGTTTGACAAAGAGAGAATGTGTTTCTATGGAACTTGACAAAGAGAGAATGTGTTTCTATGGAACTTAGTACTCACAAGCAATTGTGTGCTTCATTTGTTACTCAGTTTAGCCACAGCTGGATATGGTACTGCTCTTGGTGTAATCCGTGCACTTAACAGTGGAGGAATTTTAGAAAGGGCTTATTGTACGGAAACACGCCCATTCAATCAAGTGAGTTCATTTCCTCCAAATATAGTTATAATTGGATCTCTTTTGAGAGAAGATGCACACACTTAAAGTTACCTTTCATCAAGATGTTCTGTTAGAGTTGGTTTATTTTTTGCAACTTGCAATCTTGGATTAAAGCATGGCATGAAGCAGAACTGAAATGTAATAACATGCTTATATTTTGCTTTATGTTCCATCTTCCAATTTCAAAGTTTAAAACATGAAATGCATTTCTTAACAAGAGCACTCAAGTTTCAGATATACATCAATTTGTATCATGGTAATGGGCATGTTTTATCTTGTTATTCATGTTTCAATGTCTGCCTAGCAGTTCATTTAAAACATAATAGGTAAGAAAATTATTTGAATTGCCATGGAAAATAGGTCTAGGATGTATGGGCATGTAGAGAGAAGACCTGTAAATTTTGTTGTAAGGAGATTAGATCAGATGGAGAGTAGTCAAACAACTTGAGTTGATTCTTACTAGGGATGTAAATGGATATCCATGGGAGCGGATAGTATGATATCCATGTCTGTCTCGTTGGATAAATATGATATTCATATCCGTCCCATATTCATGCGGGTATCCGCTAAACGGATAATCCGTGGGTTTTAAGGTATCCGCAGATATTCACGGACAATATTTTTTTCTAATTTTTTTTTTTGAAAAAAAATATTTTCAACTTCTTTTAAAGACACAAGAAGTTATTATCACATAACATCCATACAAATTTCTAACAAAAATTGATCACATTAATTTCCTTTATTTTCACCAAAACATAATATCCATACATTTATTTTTAACAAAAAAAATGAAAGATATTGTGATTGTGAGTTATATTAAAATAGCGGACGACAAAAGATTAGAAATGAAGGCATTGGCTGGAAATGAAAAATGGTTGGTTGGACTCTGGAAGTGTTGAAGTGAGGTATGAACTATGGAGTAAAGAAGAAGTTTAAATATGAAATTGCCAATATAATTTATATAGAATGTAAAGTTTTTCTTCAATGAAAACTTAATATATATATATATATATATATATATATATATATATATATATATATATATATATATATATATATATATATATATATATATATATATATATATATATATATATATATATATATATATATATATATATATATATATATATATATATATATATATATATATATATATATATATATATATATATATATATATATATATATATATATAAAAGAAGACTAGTTTTTTAGAAGATAAAAAGACATAGTATAATAAACTAATATTTAAGTAACTCTTAAAATTTATTAACGGATACGGATATCTGCGGGCATGGATATTATTAAACTCGTATCCATATCTATTACTAAACGGGTATTTAAATATCCATTGATTTTACTCGCGGATATCTATTAAGTTATCCGTCCCGTACCCGTGACAGATTTTATCCGTAGATATCCACGGGTACGGATTTTTTTGCCATCTCTAATTCTTACAAATCATCGCGGATATCTATTAAGTTATCCGTCCCGTACCCGTGACAGATTTTATTCGCAGATATCCACGGGTACGGATTTTTTTGCCATCCCTAATTCTTACAAATCATAATGCTTAATTGCAGGGATCCAGACTTACTGCCTATGAGTTGGTACATGAAAAAATACCAGCAACTCTCATAGCAGATTCGGCCGCAGCTGCACTAATGCAAGCAGGACGTGTGGATGCTGTTGTTGTTGGCGCAGATCGTGTTGCATCGAATGGTACTTTCTGTTGCAACAAAATTAAACTAATTTGTGTGTCCTCTAAACCAAGAAAGATATCAGCAGATTTATTTTCTTTTAAATGGCATTACAGGTGACACAGCCAACAAAATCGGAACCTATAGTGTTGCCTTATGTGCCAAGTTTCATAATGTACCTTTTTATGTTGCTGCACCCTTGACTTCCATTGATCTATCACTTTCTTCTGGGCAACAAATTGTTATTGAGGAGAGATCTCCGAAGGAGTTGTTGAACTCACGCGGTGGACTTGGAGAGCAAGTTGCCGCCTCAGGAATATCTGTGTGGAATCCGGCATTTGATGTTACACCAGCTAATCTAATTTCTGGGATCATCACTGAGAAGGTCTGTCTTACCTCTCTCTCTTGCATTGTTTTTATTGGTTTCACTATCACTTTGCTCTCTAACCATTTTATGTTCTCTGATCAGGGTGTCATTACAAAAACTACTGCTGGTGATGCTTTTGACATAAAAGCTTTCGTACAGAAAACAGCTTAAGTGTGGAATGTATTCGATACAAATGATCTGTGGAGTGTGATGTGTTTAATCAATTGTAGATTTGAGTTGTGTGTTTTAGAGGGGAGTTGTAGATCAGCTCTTCCGATGTAAGTGTCCCAGAGAAGAAACGGGGACCTGGCTAATAAACAAGTCAAAAAGAAATTGGTGGCCACGATGACTTGCGCAGATAAAATTGAATGGTGTAAATTCTCGGTTAACTCAAGATTTGGTATAGACATGATTTGTAGCAGATGTAATGAGGTTCTAAACTATGTAATGCTTGATATGACATCAAATAATATTGGACTGCTTTGCATTCAAGGTTAATAAAGTAAAATATGTAAGGGAAAATAATGTTTTTTTCTTCTATTTGAATCAAATGTTAAAAGTTAATTTTGGGCCGAAGTCATTAATATTGGAAAATTTATCTTGAGACCATTCAAGTTTGACATGACACTTTCTATTTTTCGTTATTCTGAAAATGTTTGTGGTGAGATGGGAAGAATTTTTTACGATGGAATTTTCATTATTGATTGCCAAATTTCTGGTATAGATGAAATTTTCAGTATTACATATTAAATTTTTGATACTTAACAATTTCTTTTGGTTCATTTGAAATTTTTGATATTTCAGAAATTTTAAATTTACAAGTCTGTATCGAAAATTTAGTATGTACTGAAATTTTCAGTAGTGCATTAATTCAGGGTTTTTTAACGATTAAAATTTTGCTGACATCTTTGAAAGGTTTTGATTGTACCGACAAATTTGTGTGGTCTAGAATGAATCGTTATTCTGTCGACGACATAATCAAGATGCTGAAACGTTCAGAATCATCTGATAGTACCTAGGTTTTCATGTTTAGTGTTTTTTAATTTATGTTTGTTGTACTATTTTATGTTGTGTTATTTGTCTACTCGAAACATGTAATCGTCAAAATATTATGCAATAAATAAGTACCGTGATAACAAGTTTGTGTCAAAAATATACATATAATACAAGTAAAAATATAACATATCTACATACGCCTCCACGGGCTACATCTGCTAGCCTAGATAAACATGTATAAATTTCACCATCAGGGTTTATCAAACCCATGAGGTTATCTACAAGAAGTGCAATAAATTGGAGGCGGCTATCCTGGTCACCTGCAGGCGGTGGAGGTGGTGGTGGTTGCACGTTATTATACCCTAATTTTTACCCCTAAGATCCTCTACCATTCTATATCATCACAATGCATCAAAATCAAACATTTGGTTGGTCATCTCTTCTACTCTCTCCTATTTTTGAGTTTGTCCTTGGAGGATCACTAAGCACTTTGAATTGTATGTCTTGTATAGATGTTTTCATGTTCATTAACCATTAACAATGTCCAAAAATATATGTGTTTTCCTCTTTTTATATTGTAGGTATATAGCCAAGTGCATCTCCCCCACCTCCTAAGCTAGAGTTTTGAAGATTGATTCTCAGTCAACTGGCTAGTCAGTGGATTTCTAAAAGCTTAAACTTCAAGGCTATGATTATGACATCAAATTTCTTTGGATTGAAGACTCTCTCAATTTCATTTGGTCAAGGTGTCTCAAAGTGGATGTTTGTATTCATCAAGAAACTTCATAGATTCATGTGTTTATTTTCATGCCTTCTTCAACAAATTTCATCAAACAATAAACCATCTCATCAAGTGTGTCTCAATATGACATTATTTTAAGATATAATGTGATTTATCATGCCTTAATTTGCAAGGAAAGACCAAGAGATTCAAAGTTGATCCTAGTGGTTTGACCTAATTTAGAAAAGTCCTTGATTATATGGTCACAAGTGCATCATTCTCTCAATTTTCAATATTTTGAAGTGATTCTTTTTACTAGGGTCTCTTATCATCATTTACAACAACTTATCTTCACATGACAAGACTCAATTATGCAAGGCAGATCATCAAAATCTTGAAAAGATTGCAAGTCCTTTACAAGACCATGAAAATTGATGACTTGACTTTAAGAGATCATAACTTGGTCAATTTTTATCTACTTGAGCTTATTCTTTTTTCACAATAAACTTGAGGATGTGTGCTACAACTTTGATTCAAAGATCAAGATCCAAAAATGTGTGGAAGGTTATGAAATTCAATGAAACATTATAAGTCATTTGTGGATTTCTCAAGAATTTTTCATCAACTCGCAAAGACCATAATAAAGGTAGAGAAAACACAATAAAGGGGGTTTGAATTGGATTTATAGAAAATATTTCCATTTACAAATTCTAATTACTTAAATGATAAAGGTTATAAAGACAATGAAGAGTAGAGAACACAAGCGATTTATCCAGGTTCACCTTAACAAGGTTAATTCTGTCCACCCCTCAAGGTGATTTTCCTTTAACAAAGACTTAATCCACTATAACCAAATTTATTACAAATGCATGGGCAACGACTGATGAATAATAGACAATGACATGTTCAGTGATCCAACTTAACAAATATAACGTTCATTGACCCAATAGAATCATATCACTAAGATCTTATATCAGGAGTTTCACAATGACCAGTAGCCATTGTCTTCTTGAGATCAGACCTTCACTCAGTCTCTTAAGGAACAATTCAATGATATGTTCAATGATCTGATTTACCGAATATAACAATTATTAACCTAACAGAATTCAGTCACTTAAGATCTCCTATTAGGATTTTCTACAATGACCAACAACCATTGTCTTCTTGAGATCAGACACTCACTCAGTCTCTCAAGGAACCTTTCAATGATTTGTTCAATGACCTGATTTAATTGATACAATAATCATTGACCCAACAAAATCTGATCACTTAAGACCTCCTATTAGGATTTTCTACAATGACCAGCAGCCACTGTCTTCTTGAGATCAGACTTTCACTCAGTCTCTCAAGGAATCAATCAACAACGGTTGATGAGGTTTTGTGTTTACATGATTACTTCTTCTAAGCAGATTACACAAATTATTAAGCACATATTGTTTAACACAATTTCAAGCAACAACTCTTGTGTTAAAAAAATTTAATGAAGAGATTAGAACTATAACACAATAAGAGCAACAACTCTTGTGTACATTACAATGTTTTATCAATATGTATTTGACCAAAAGTTGGGTAGCATATTGTAGTGTTCTTCTTCTTCATCTTCTTGTTGAGCACGTTACGAGCAACATCTCCTTGCTTCTTATGAGATCTACCAAAATTTATATGATGATAGTTTGTGTAGAATCTTGTAGATTTCTTCTCCTTTATATTTCTTTCTTTTCTCTCATTTTTGTGTAGTGGTCTTGTTGGCTCCCAAATTCGACACTTGATATATTTGGTCTCTTTGACCAAACAACTGAAAATGAACTACACCAGGAGGTGTAATTTGACGCATGAGATAATTTAAGGAAAAGGATCCAAGATATAATAAGAAGCTTCGACCAAAGGTTCATTCGACTGAGGCAGATGTAGGTTGTTCGACTGAAGGGAAGTGTTCGCGCCTTGGCACATGGGACGAAGACCATTTTGAAATTTGAATTATTGGAGGGAAAGGTGGTTTTCATCAGCGTCTAAGGGAAGGAAACGTGGAAAAAGGCTATGGGTCGAGAGGCATTCAGGAGACACTTGTCTTCATCCTAGCGCAGAATATCCCCTCGACGGTTACCTATTTTTAGTATAAATTAAGAAGTTTGTGTAATTTTTAGGGGGTTCAACTTATAGTACTAAATCTCTCAAATATTATCCAAGTAACTACTGCGTGAGAAAGGATAAAAAGCAGAGCAATGTACGTTAGAAATACCCTTTTTACTTAATAAAAGTCTTTTTACTTTACTTTACCATTATCTTGCAAAGTTACCTTTTACTTCTTTTACTTCTTTTACTTGCATTTTTATGCTTTCATTTACTGTTCGACAATCTTAAACATCTCTCCCCTGGGTCGAACGTGCGTTCTTCCTTCTCACTCATTTTACATAAAGATTAGCATTATGTTCTGGGATTAGTTTGGTCGATCCCGCGAGTAAACCAAAAAACTTACCTTTTTTGGAGACCAGCGGTTATTTACCAAAAACAACGGTAAACAAATTGGCACACCCGGTGGGACGTTGCTAATTGTCTATGTTATTGTGTTTTTTTTCCTGTACAGTTATAACATTGCATGTTATTACAAAGTGGTAGAATAACCAACAAATATACTGTTAGGAAAGAAAGCGGAGAGAGTAGTATGGCTAATGAGCCAAACCATGGAGAAATACCTCCACCGATCACAGGAACACCAGTTACTACTATTGTCGAAGGGAATATCCCAACTTCTGTCGGATCCATACCAGCGTTAACCATGAATCAAACTGGACCCTTACTTACGTATATGGGTCCAAGAGGTCCTTTAGGAACACCCCTGTGATACGGTGGGAGAACTGACTAGTGTTTTGCGTTCGTATTCGCACTTGTGCGGTTAGCAAGAGTCGCCACCGACTTTTTACTTTATCCTAAAGGAAAGGTTAAAAAAGCACAGCAAAAACCTTTTGAGATGTTTTGTGGGTTCGGGGGGGTAGATTATGAAAAGGGAAGGTATTAGCACCCTTTTCATCCATGGTTATCCATGGGCTCTTAGTTACTTGGTTTTTTAGATCACTTGCCTTGTTTTTTGATTGCTTTGAAAATGGTGTGTGTGTGTGGGTGCTTTTTGAAAATGTTTTGGAAAAAGATGCCTTGTCTTAGGCAACTAATGTATTTGACTCGTGTTTGAGTGTTTTACAAAAGTGTGAATCTTTTCGAAAAGATGTTTTCAAATGTTTTTGAGAGTTTGTTTGAAAGTGTTGTGGATTGTGGTTTTTGAAAAGAAGGCAAGTGTTTTTGCAAGTTTGATCTCAAGTAACTAAGAGTCTTGTCTACCCTATTGTACTCAAAGGTTTTTGTCACGTTTTAACCCCTTTCAACAATTTTGTTCTACCATTGAAATTGGTAGACAATCTTGCGTTTAGGAAGTTTATTCGGGACGGGTGCGGGTCATCGT